CCCCAAAACCCCAAAACCCCAAAACCCCACAGGTATAAATCACAGTTGAACTTAAATTTCTTAATTATTGGATTTTATTTCTAAATATGGAAGCCGTAAATGCTGCCCGTAAAAAGTAGGTCTTCTGGATCCAAATTTCAACTATTGCTATCCAAATGTGTTAATTTGTGGTAGGTTTCAATGCAGTGACCCTGCATGCAAAAAAGACAGAGTATACTTCTGCAAAGGCCACCAAATGAAGTCATGCAGAAGCTGAGCTAGCAAGATGCACTTCAGATGCCAATTGGATATTATCCACGATCTGACTGATCTCAACATTGAAGTGATTGAGACCAAGAGGTTTGTGAAGAGACTGTTCGAGCTCATAGCTGAGAACTGTTTGAGAGCATACAGCCCGAACATTGATGGCGAACTAAAAGATTTCCAAGACAGCCTCGTCGAGACTGAGAAGAAAATAAGAGAAGCAATTGTTCACGACCATTTCGAACAATTTAACACTCTTCAGTCTCAGATCAAACAGTAAGTCCTTCTCCACTCGATAAACTGATGTCCTCGGATCTTTGGGTGCTTTCACTTAAACTTGCTGATATCTTTAGGGTCCAAATCCAGATGGACGACAGCAAAGTAGTCAAAGATATTTTGTACTTGTCAACGTTCAGAGATGTCAGCCTGTACAGCCTGCCCAAGATCGGAAACGGTAAGCTCTTCTTTATTAAGCTTAGTCTTATCATCTGCCACCAAGGTCAAAGAGAAGATCGACACTGTTGTCAAAGAAAACTTGAAACTGATGAAGAAAAAGCTCCGTTCCGAGTCAAGGCAATTTGAACAACAGTGCAAGGCCAGGCTCACCGAAGAGTTCAAAAATGAGATCCAGAGCCTGAAAGATCTGAATGATGCCAAAGATACGGAGCTTGAGGAACAGAAAGAAGCCACAGAGCAAGCACGTCAAGATACCGAAGATACCAAGAAGCAAAGAGATGAAGCTTTTGCTGAAAATGCCACATTGAAAGATCAGAATAAAGACCTCATAAACATCAAGACTCAGCTTGAAGAGGATTTAAAGGCCAAACTAGAGGAGATCAATGAATCCAAGTTACAGCACGACAAAGACCAGGAAGAAATATCCAAGTTGGTTGAAGGTAAGAGTTTATAAGATATGACTTGTAGAGGTAAAAGAAAGCCAAGGACAAATTGAAGAAACAAAAGAAATCATCAAGAATCAGCTTACTTATATTTTCACAAACTTCGACCCTAATTCTAAAGATCTCAATCTGAACATGAAAAAAGAAGAATCCCAGAAGCTAGCCAAGGCAATGGTGGACAGCAAGTATCCTCTTCACAATATGAACAGGCTCAAGATAGATTGCATCTACAACCAGGAAGCTATTGTTGACCCATTCATGGCTAACTCAGTGGCTTCTCCTCTCAAACTTTTTGGCTTAAACTTGAGCCATGGTGCAAGCGGTGGAAGCAACACACCTAAAGTGAGTGAGCTGATGAAGGGGCTGAAGAGCCTCCTGCCCAATGTCACAAAGGAAGTGTTCTTGAATTATCTGATAGTGAGTGAGGACGATCTGAGTCAGATAGTCAAGGCGTCTTTAAATGCAGAAAGACTCACTATACGTGCAAGCAAAATTCTAACCTCAGACTCCCTCGACTTTTCCACTGCTGCTCAATCCAAACTCGAATACTTGAGTTTCAATTGTAGTGGAAACGCTAGCTGGCGCAACATGGAATGGGATAAGTACCCAGACAGATTTGAAAAGATCGTGGTGGCCATCAAGAACTCCTCTCTCAAAGACTCCCTCAAGACCCTCAATATCTACAAATGCAATATTTCCGCATCCAAGGTGGGGGAACAACTGACAGACCATGGCCTCTCCCACATCAATGTGGTGGAGGAAGATAATTACCCTCTTGAAGAATAACCTGGTTGTGAAGTTAATAAATCCCGGAATGAAATTTAGATTGCAAAGGTTATTTACAATTTAATTATCCGAATTTTAGCTTTAGGTCTTGCTTCGAGAAGAACTAATTTAGAAATGTTTTCTGTTTCAATTCTCTGGAGTTTAGCTGGGGTTTTGGGGTTTTGGGGTTTTGGGG